ATTTAAGCCTCTGGTATTGAAAAAATAATCACTGGTTCGAAGGACTAGTAATTTCTAATAAGTTCACCAGAACTCCGTTCCTAATATTGTCTTTGCTTACTTCGTGACGTTGATTATTTTGAAATTAATCACATATTATGACATCTAAGATTTAGCGACTTCATTTAAATTAAACTAAAATTTTGGGAATATTACGTGCATTTTTTAATTTTTAAAAACCGCTGGACGATTGCTACAAACTAACGAAAAAGTCGGGGGTATGTTGTTAAAAAAAATAGGCGGTAATATAAGTTTCAATTAATCTGATATTATTTTAATTTTTAATAAACATTATAAAGAATGTTTCTTTAAAATTGTAAAACTTTAGCCATTCAAAGTTTACTAATTAAAATTATACTCATAAATGTACTTCGATATTGTAAATACATACATATTTTATGGGAGCATACATTGAAATACGGAGTAAATATTACTTATAAACTTCTACGTGCGTGGAAATTTATCCGAAAAATTTTCTAATATCGTGTCATTGAAACATGACTTCGGTCATAATTCACGGCCGTAGAATTTTTTCAATTTACTTGAAGGACAGTTGAGTTTAATTAGCTCGGGATATGAGACGACTTAGAATTTTCTCTTCAAATTTTCCATTTTGCGTCTAAATTAAGATTGAGGCTCGGCAATTAGGCTAAAATAGGTGTTGTGAGTTCCTTGAAGGAAATTTCTTTAGACTCTTTTTATAATTTTATGATTGTTGCCTGTTTAGACAAAAATATTCCTTAGGTAATTTGACTTTAATTTTAAAACAAAAATGATTTCTACTTAAATTACAGACTTACTATATAATTGTGATAAAAACAATATTGTTAGATAAATAACGGTTGGTTAAAGCTTCATTATTTGATACCTAATATGGATACTTAATTATTTTTTGTACACTCGAATTATATGTTTATTGTTAAAATTAATGGCATTCCTAATAGAAGAGATGACTTTCAGCTGAAACAAAACTTTATCGAACTTGGTATAAAATGAATAATAATAAATAAATAATTATTTTTACTCTGTAAGTTTGCAGTAAAAAAAAAATATATTTAGTTTTATGTGTAATGGTATTTTCACGATATTTAGTCATATTTATGGTTTTAAGACAATCACTGGATAAATCAATGGCATTTATTTAGTACGTATTCAAAGCATTATCTTCTTTTAATTTTTGTTTAAAAAATTATTCGATTGATTCTCTCAGCCTTTGCTTAGTTCTTAGAATTGTTTTAGTAATTCATGTTAAGTGTTTTATGTAAAACTTGCAGATGCGTTTCTTGACGAAGTATTGTTAAAAGTGATAAGTCCATTATTATATATTCCTTAATTTAAAAAATTTCTGCCTTGATAATAATAACTAATATTAGCTGCTAGTATTTTAATGAACGTATCGAAATTTAAAAAAAAATGTCTAATCACCTAAAATTTGGATCAACTGTTAGTAATGAGATTTAAGATTTTCGCGAGTACTCATTTAAATGAAACTAATATTTTCGGATTTACGACGAGATTTTTAATTTTTGACTTTACTACCACATACTCCCGACGTTTCAGTTACTTTACAGCAAACGTGATCACGGGCAGACGAGATGTGAATGTCTGTGACTGTTAATGTTAAAAAACACATTTCATTTTTAAATTCCTTTTAATCATGCTGTTAACAAATTATTTCTTTTTTATTTAAATTTAAGGAAATTATTGCTATAAGTTTCTTAATAAATACGTATAATGAGGTACGCTGTATCTTGGTATTAAAATATTCTTACATGTTAATGTTGTATAATTATTTAATGTTTAAGCAAATACAACAGTCGAGCTGTAATTCTTGACGCAAACAAGTTATTTGACAACAAATCCTATTATAAGGACAATTACGTTCGTTAATCTGCTGTTGGATGTGTACAAAATAAACAAAACAAATACGTAATATATCGAAAAGTATAAAATTTATGTTTGCTTACCGTAGACCATGAGAATTAGTAACTGTTCAACAAAAATTCTGTCATAAAACCGTATTCTTATTTATCCCTATCATTTATTTCTTCATCTGCACGCTAGCGTTGTTTGATTACTGTAATTAGGGTTCCCCAGTCGCTGTAGGCAGCTTTCAACACATTGTATCCACGAAATTATCACTTCCATATTTCGGGCATACAACACTTTGATTTTCACCGAATTAGAATCATCAGATAAAATGGAAACATATTAACTCGGTCTGACATAAAAACTGGTATTTTAATCAGCAGTTTTCGGGTCATAAAATACTGCAAAGTATCCTCACCTCCAAGATTTCATTCATGCATGCTTCTATATGCTATCCCTGGGAATGCTCTTTGTTCTTTAGTCAACCCTTTTCCTAAATTTTATCATACGATCGTAAAAAACTATAGCGTTAAAATTTTGTTATAACCGGCACGTTTACATGACGACCGTAAAAGCACAAGTTGTTATATTATAAACACACACACACACAGTCGTGAAAAATATATATATGTACATATCTATATATATACATATATATATTTTTCACGACTCTATTACAAGTTAAATATTGATTATAGTGAGTGGATATTGATTGGAGGAAGTAGTGTTTTACTTTTCTGATCGCATGATTATAGTTTCTTATTGATGTTAAAAGCATCGTGCTATTTAAAACCGACGGTAGTATTTATATCTAATTATGATTTCGACGGTCGGTGGATGCAATGAAACCAAAATTATTTGACTTAATTTAATTAAAAGTAAGTTACAACTAGGGTGTGACTATGTTGCACGAAGGTTGAACAAATAGTGACATTAATTTAATCAAATTCTTAAAAGAAATCTTATAATCTAAAAACATAATTAAACGACCACTTATTACACCGTCACATAACAATCTTTTAAACAAGTTTGTATTGGCTATAAAATTGTTTTTTTCTTTTCTTCACACTTAGAAATATACAGCTATTAGAAGTTTACGAAACCACTAAATATTGTATCTCATTTTCGATCTAATGTAAACATGACCATTAAATGTAATTTTAAAATATATACCAAAGTTAAAATATTAAATAATTGAATCTTCAACGCTAATAAAATATGTTTTATGTAATAAGAATTTTAGTACTTACGATAGGAGTTATATACCTATTAAAAAATAAACACAAAATGAAAAAGAAAGTGTTTTATGAATTCTTGTATTGTTTGAGAATGGCTATTAAATTGCCACGTCAAAATGTGCCCCGGGTTTTTAATTTGCATCTCAGATGATTGTGGGTTGAAAGCACATTTCGACTCAAACTATAAATAGTGCTATTGTAAGATTCTTTTTTCTAGCTATAAATTTATTTTAAATTAACTTACCTTTACTATCGATCAAATCTTAAACTTATGATTTTTAGACAAATGGTATGATATTGTACTCGTTTTTAAGTGTGGGAAATTGTTAGTTAGTATCTATCTCATAAAAATAGATACACACATACTCACAAAATGTTCCTTTAGTAAAATGAAAATATTTTTTGTTATACATTATAAGAGTTACATAAGTTTAAAGATTATTAAAGAGAGTCATTCTATTGGATACAATTCTTTGCATATCGTGAATATATTTCATTCAGCTTTGAAGGCAAACCAGTAACTGGGACACGTTTTCTGCTATACAGATGATCACATGATCCCTAGATCATAGAAATGTTGCCGACACGTTTCCCAATCCCAGCATTCACGCGCACTGAATACTTTATCAACAATGGAGTGCAAAAATAACTAATTAAAGTAACGCTATCCCGTTGAGAATATATTGTTATAGATCACGATTTAAATAAGAACAAAAATTTCTCAGAGAAAATATATAAAAACTTATGGTCGATTATTAAAAGCTAGGCATATTTTTCAGACAAAGAAGCTAATAAATTTTAACTAAAATATATCTCTATATTTGCTTTCAAATCTTGATGTGACCTATTTAGAAAATTCAATATCAGTTTTAATACGTAAATTGGGTCTTAATAATAATATTATTACTATGTAACTTAGAAATTTGGTAGTAGATGAATCAAATACATTGATAGCTCCAGATTTACCCCAACTAGTCGTATTTAATTGATTGTGATACTAAGTTATCCCGTGGATTGAATCCATAGTGAAAGCTTCTTTTTATGTTTGATTTTGAGATTATTTTTTATAATAGATTGAATCAAGAGATTTATATTATAATAATAGTAGTAGTAGTCACTGTTTCTTGTGATAATTCCTATTATATTCAATATTTTGTTTTCCAATAAATTATAATGATTCTAAAATGCCTATATAAACATAGTGCTTTTATTAAATATAAATTAAATTCATACAATTCGATGAAAACATCCATAGAAATAAAGATTTCTATTGATTTAATTATAAATATAATATGAGAGTATGGTTAACGTACCTGTTTTATAGAAAATTGTAATAAAAATATAATGACATTTATATATTTAATATAAATATTATGATATTTAGGGTAAATGTGGGATAGATGCCTCAGTGGGATAGTTGCCTCAGTAAACACGTAGCGACATGTATAAACATTAGATCCGTTGTGTTTTGTTTTAACGTAACCCTACCCCCGCCCGTCCTTCGGTCAGTGCCACGCACTTAGCTGGAACGGACGTGTCGAGAGTTATGAGACAACGAACATTTTTTGCGGCAGTTAATTCGTGAATTTGGTTTGTCTGAAATTTTGATGGGCTCGAAACTTTTGATTTTATGAGGTAAGTGCTTATATTTTTGTTTTATTTAAGTGTAGATGTGTTAAATAAAAGATTTTGTTTATTATTTACGTATGTTTTATCATTAAAGTAAATAAATATTTTGAGCGGCGTCTATCCCCCCGAAAAAGGATAGATGCCTAGTTTTTTGTGAGTATAGATGCCCTTAGAGGCATCTATCCCCTATTAAACTTTTATCGATTTTTATAGGTATTGTAGATAATGCCTCGCAAGTACGTGCGCAAAGTAGGGGCAAGCCCTCGAGCTGGATGGACGGAAGATGCCCTAAGAGAAGCTTTTGAAGAAATGAGGCAGAATAAGCACGGCTTGAATGAAATATCTCGTCGTTATGGAATTCCTGCCAGGACCCTGAAAAGACGTTTCGTGAAACAAGATACTAAGAAACTTACTTTAAGTACTTTGTCAATTTAATATTTTTTAATGAAACTTAATTAATGTTTAATCGATTTTATGATTATTTCTAGGGAAACACCCCGCTCTAGACTTCGATAACGAAAAACGCCTCGTCGCACACATCCAAAAACTAGAAGCGGCTGGGTTTCCTGTGTCACGAGATACGGTACGAAGTTTAGCGTTTCAATTCGCTGAAAAGCTTGGGATCGGACATAAATTTAATAAGGAGACAGGTAAAGCTGGACCTCATTGGCTTAAGTCCTTTTTAGAACGCCAACCTACGCTTAGCGTTCGGCAAGCTGAAGGTCTGTCCCTTGCTCGAGCGCAGGGACTTAATCGTGAGGAAGTCCAAGGAAGGCCAAGAGTAGCTTCCGAAGAGACAGATTCATCTGGTACAAATGATTCTGATGAATCTTTCAAAGAAAATGAATCTCATGTTGACGTAAAACAGAAAAATGTAAAGAGAGCTAAGAAATTAAAAATAAATGAAACTTCAAGTGTTAATGTGATTCAACGTCCCATTCGTGCTGTTGAGAAAAAGCAACGGATAACCAAAAACGCCAGTGAACGAAAGGCAATCGCTTCTTCTGAGTCGGACTCTAATGAAAATTCGTCAAATGAATGTCTGGAATGTTTTGAAAATTATGAGGAAACAAAATCAACGGCAGACTGGATCCAGTGCATCATGTGTAAAAAATGGTTGCATGAAACTTGTACCATGTACGGAAATTACTGTAATCCTTGCAATCGATTAAAATTGCGCCTTGAAAAAAATGAAAAAATTTAAAATTTAAAATGTATCAGAAGTTGCCACTTTCAATGTTTATACTAATATTGTATTATTAGATACTAAAATTGATCTCAATTTCAATATTAAACCAAAGATGATTATGCTTATAAATGAAAATGTAACAGTTGTTGATTAAAAATAAATAAATCTAAGATAATCTTTAATTATTTGCATAGGGCATCTATCCCACAAGCCAAATCATCATTATGGCATCTAACCCACACTTTAGGCATCTATTCCCGATTATAATACTTTTTTATTTCTTTTGTACCAAAAAAAATACAACTACTAATGTTAAATTACTTTAATTATTTCATTAATAAGTACACAACACATCACAATCATTAAATTTTTATGAAAACTCATATTCTATCACTTATTTGCCTATTTCAAAAAGTGCGGCAACTATCCCACATTTACCCTATGTATATATTTGACCATATTATTTTTTCCTGATATTCAAAAGTCCGTTGAAGTTTGCCGAGGTAATGAAAAATACGTGGGACTTACGTACAAACGATTACAAAGTCGGTCATTAGGTATGCTTGTAAATATCCTGAAACTCAGGCGTCTGCTATATTTAACTAGTTTATATATATATATATATATATATACATATAATATACTAATAAACAGCCCTTATAAAGATTACAATTATATAATCAATCGCTGATTGGCTATTGGAAATTAAAAACAATCAGTATAAAAAAGCAATTAGTAACTTCAAGAATAAGTTGCAAAAACTTGTAAGGGCGGAAGTTCTAAGAATCGTAGTGTACATGTCATGCCCAAATACGCAGTAAAAGTTTTAATTAATACAAGAAAGCTACATTTTTCTTACACGACACGAATACTTGACACTTGTTGTAAGAGGACATCATATATGGTACTAATTATATTTTATCTCTGAACTAGAACTGACAGAATATATAGGAAATGGATTTGAAACGAATTTATAATATTTTATATCTTCACTAGCTTTCCGTCCGCAGCTTCGCCCGCGTGGAGTTCGGTTATATCGCGTTTCCAAGAGAACCTTTCAAAAGTCTGAGATAAAAACTATCTTATGTTCTTTCTCAGAATCAATTCTATGTCTATATCAAATTTCATTAAAATCAGTTCAGTGGTTTAGGCGTGAAAGCGTAACAGACAGACAGACAGAGGTACTTTCGCATTTATAATATTAGTAGGGATGTTTAAAATTTAAAAAGGTTCTTACGAATCAATCAATATATGTAGTTGCTTGTATCATAATTGGATTTAACCAGGATAAATCGATGACTATGAAATAGAGATGCAACATTCATAATATCCTGGATCGGTATTAGCAATGGAATGTCCATTGGTGTTTACTTATTACTAATTGTCTTGACAAACAGATTGAGACGTTCGATGTTAGACGTCCTGTTAATAAACAACTACCTAAATAGTGTTACTTAGAACAAACAGATTTTGATATTATCAATGATAATTAAAACCATATTTGAATAAATGAAACTAATATTAGTCGGATTACTACGCGCATTTTATTATTTTAAAAACTACATACTCTTGACGTTTCGGTTACATTTCAGCACCCGTGATCATGGACAGACAAGATGTGATATTTCGACGTCGCGAGTAAATCCGAATAATATTAGTTTCATTTAAATGATTACTCGCGAAACTCTTAGATCACACATTTGAGTAGCAACGCATTTGTTGTCGGGTTTTCGTTTCGGATAAATATGAGTTATGTTGGTGTGAAAATACATATATTGTATTTTTTCTGTCTAAAATCGCTGCTTCGCCTTTCATACATTCTTCAACAAAATAAATATATTATGGCCTGGTAAAAATCACCACGAGGCGATTGCATCGTTCTTTGTTTCACCTCTTTTTAAATATTTTATTTCATTAATTTGAATTTGAATCTAAAAAAATATTATGAATTATATCCTGTATATATATATGGCTCCAAGATTGCTAGCAACTAGTTAGTAGTTTATGGGACTAACGTACGTTACACGGTTTAATTGTTTGACTGTTCCAAAATAACTCCAAACAGTTACAATTCCGACTGTAATGTAATGACGTGTTCTTCCCGTTCCCGTTCCGTGTCTCTCAATATAAACTTTGCTCAACTGCTTCGCTCCCAGTCAGATTCAAATTCAAGAGTCTCTTATTTTAGACGTTGAATTGAATCACATGGCCACTCAATAACATAAGTAGTAAGTTTACCGTAAAAATCCTTTTGGATCACTTTTGGTCTTAAGATTATAAACTATGTTTTATTTCACACCATATTATTTACATCAATATAGCGAAAATTATAATTTAATTAGGTACTTTCCAAACGACAAACATATATTTTTGGTCGTTGCTAACTTAATTCATACTTTTTATCCTTTATGATCTATGTATATATAAATTCATTTCACGTATTATATATATGTTTAGTACTGATCTATAGTCATTTTTTTATCGGTTATAATATTCAGTTTACATGGAAGCATATAATATTCTACCCATTATATGTCTACTCGTGTGTAAATTTAAGTAAATTCAAATGTAAATTTTATTTCAACTGTTTGAAATTTTATATTTTTGGTCTACCACAATTCTAGATTAATACAGATTAATAATAAGAAGACCCTCTACTTATTAATCTGTGAATGTAGAAGTAAGTTTGGATACTTTAAACATGCGACGAAATAAAAAAATAATGATAATGTATCCATTTTAAACTGAACATTTATTGTTACAGGTACTGGAAATAAAGCTGACTCAAGTCGTACAAACAGCATGTGATAAGCTGATCAGGTTAAAATGTATAAATACACAACCAAGCATTTCCTGAAGAAAAAAGTGAGTATACTTGATATTCAACATTCAAGGTCTAAAAGTCATTATGTCATAGTTTAATATTTTCTAATAACAAGAAATATGTGTAAAATTATAATGCTTTATTTGTTTGACAATACATATAGCAATAAAATTCGTAAATTGGACAAGAGTGAACCAATTTCAGTGCTGGAATCGGCACTTAGAATCTGTAAACTGGGACACTGATAGAAGGATATAGTAATCAATTAATTAACATTTTTTTTTGTGTTTAATTTAGTTTAGTTTTGGAATAATTCCGTCCTCTTTGAATTATAGTACCGTACATTAAGATTTTTTTGTACTTTACAACACGTTCTAACTTTTACGTAATGATCAGTTGTAATATTTAACATTTAAGGGTCTGATGAATACACTTTAGAAGGTAATAATCTTATATACTGTCGCTTGCTCCAGTATTTTATGAAAAATATTTTGAATTCTTCAAAACACTTGCAATCTATCTATTAGGATTTATATTTTTTTTTTCTTGTATGGTCACTTGACCATACTTAAGTCATCCTGTTCCTCTATTTAACTTAATTATTTTCCTTAATATTATAATATAAAATCGAAATATCGCATGCATAAAGCACGTTAAAAAATTTATAGCAAAATTCTTTAGTGATGCCAGCTTATTTTTGATAATAATTATTAAATTATAATTCATACCGTGATTTTTTTAGGCGCCCCTTTTGTTTGGCAAGCATATGAATAATACATAGCTTTCTGCAAAAAGATGTGACTGTTGTTTTGGTTAACAAACTCATAACATTGTATTTTCTAAAAATGAACTATCACGAGAACAAGATGTAGAAACGTCGAAAGGCACAACTCAACTACAAAGACGATTGTTTCTGTAATGGAATCGCTTTATTTCATCTAATTTTAATGACTTTTCCCTAATAGAGGCAAGCCCCGGGGATATTTACGCAATTCAAATACCTTACCATCTTACACCATTTCTATTTCTGTCATTTTAATATTAAATTGAACCGGAAAATTCTCACGGAATCCATACAAAGTTTATAGCATTTATAATGAAGTTATCGGGGAACTTTCGCTATAATAAATAAATAAAAATATCTTTTAAAATTGAGTGTCCATCAGCTATAAAATATATTTAATAACCAAATGAGTGAAAAATCAATTTAAATCTTTTCTTCTTTCAAGCTTTTAATGGTGTTTCGTGTATGCCTATATTTTCAATGTTTAAATAGCATTTATAAAAGATAATTATTGTTCATATCTTCTCGATACTAATATTACATCGTATAGCTCTTTGTTAGTCATTCACTTAAAAAAATTGTTAAAGTTTACAGCCTTCTTCAATAACTGGACTATCCAACACAAAAAGAATAATTCAATTCGAACCAGTAGTTTCGGAGATTAGCGCTTTCAAACAAACAAACAAACTCTTCAGCTAATTATGATTTCGACGGTCGGTGGATGCAATGAAACCAAAATTATGACTTAAATTTAATTATAAAGTAAGTTACAACTAGGTTTGCGACTATGTTGCACGAAGGTTGAACAAATAGTAACAATAAATCTACAGAAATTCTTACAAGAAATATTATCATCTAAAAACATAAAAGAAATATAAAACCAAAAACTGTCTTCACACGGAACTGCTGAGTCAGACCGGTGTAGTATAGGCGAGTTTACCCAGAACCTAAGGCGTCCTCTGATTACACCGTATAAAGATAATTATATTTTAATTAAACGACCACTTATTACACCGTCACCTCCCTCCTGAAGATCAGCGAATATGATTGAGGTCGACCCTTCTGGTAGGTGTGGGGATGGTGTAGACTGCTTGCAATTCCATCTGTTTGTCTTCAGGGTTATCTCCGGAATGTAATATGCGCTTGTAGAAATACTTGCGATATAACAGAGCGGCGGCTCGTGCGCCTATACTTATCAGTACCACGTAGAGAGGGATGGTGGTGTGATATAGTATATAATTTGGGTTCTGGTCTAGGGTCAGCAATGGTTGTAAGCCGACCTTAGTGTCAATTTCATGTAGGTGCTTCAAACTGATAGAGTTTAGGTTGATTTTAGGTGCTGAGGCTGTGGTGACGCTGTAGCTGGGCAGGTCCATTATTCTCACCGCTTGTCCTTGTACCCGGTTATCGGCGTTTGTTAAAGTAAATTGCGGTGTTTCAATATAACATGATTGAGGAATTGTAACGAGATAGCTGCCGTGTAGTGTGCGATATGAATCTTGTCCACAGGATAAATGAGTTTTAGTTGGATTTGGGAAACTGATGCTGTAGTGTTCTCGAGTTTCTCAAAGGCTGCCTTCTTCAATGATACGGTGATAGGTTTGCAGGATGATGCTCGATGCTGAGT